CTCTACATCCCATCAGGTCCCCTAGAATACAAGAATCTAGTATGTTTCAATAAGATCACCTCACATTTCTCTAAATTCCAATAACCATAAGCCCTACCTATACAATGTCTCTCCACAATACAGTCCCTCCTTATCTCGTATCAGTCGAGTGAACCTTCTCTGGATTGCCTTCAATACCAACAGTAATTGAGAGCTCACCATGTGAGCAACAGAAGAGTCATACCCCTGGGGTCCCAATAGGTGTTAATGCCCGATGGAAGGGGCCTGATCAAAGGAGTGGCATCAAGGAAGGGGGAGTCCATTGAGAGTCGCACCTATCTATGCTAGTGACTCCCTGATATCTCTCAGACTGCCGAGTGGGTGGGTGTTACAGTCTGAGGCCATTGGTGCAAACGCAGTTCCTCCTGGCAGTTGGAGGCAACGGACGTGGCTCCCCCTAGCAATTGCAGCGGCCGCAAGGATGCAGCTCCTCCCTGCTTTGGGGCCAAAAGAGGCAGCACCAGTGTCAATGGCAACAAGAACACAACAACTCCTGGCAATCGATGCGAGACTCGCAGGCTGCACCTGCATCAGTGGTTCCAAACACCCTTGTGGAGACACAACTTAGACTTTAAGATCTGCAAGCTTTTCTTTTGACTTTCTTTTATTTCTTCTGCTGTTCTTTTTTTGTTTTGAAATTCTGGTTTTGTAACCAAGATGGTGCTGGAGAATGGCGACTTTGTGCACTTTTCACTGTACTCACGTAATCCTCTACCTGAATACATGTGACAATAAAATCTAATTCTAACCGTGTCTTCCTGTGGATAAGGGGCCCAAAACCATTTGCAGTATTCCACTGTGTTCTGACTTGCATTTTGTATAGCTTTGGAAAACCTTCCTCCATTTATACTTCATTCTGTTTGAAATAAAACCCAACATTTCACTTGCTGACTCTATTATTCTCTGAACCTGGATGTTAACTTATTTTGATTTGTGGACAAGAAGTCCCAAGTCCTTCTGTACCATAGCTTCCTGCATTCTTTCTCCATTCAATTAATATTCAGCTCCTCCACTGAGTTCCCTTGGTAACAGGCAGTGGCCTGCCCAGTTGGAACTCATCACCTGAGCCCTTTAGAAGCAGACCCAGGGCTGCTGCTGCACAGTATCCATTTTGACTCTTCAGCTTGCCGCCTGTACATGCTTTGGCGTCCTTATTTGCCACTGGGCGGCGGAGATCATCAGTGGAGGGCTCTCTGTGTGGGAGTCCTCCCTCTTTCCATTGGGAACCTGGGATGAGGGTGTTGTATGCAGCAGTCCCTTCTAACCACAGATTGTAGCAGTTCATGGACTCACTGCCCAAATGTTTATTTTGCAACACTGGGGACTCCGTGGACCATGTATATATTGTGGACGTTTGCACTCCCTTTTCAGTTATTTGAGAAATCTTTTGTTGTGTTTTTGGTTGCGCTTCAACCCCATGCTGGGGCACTTGATGCGGAAGGGTGTGGGCAGATTGGAGGGCCTTCTCATGGGTCTGCTCCTGGGCCTGGCCAGGCTGGCTATAAATAGGGCCAGGCAGCGGGTTGTGGAGGGGGGCATCTCTCCATAACTACCTGCCCCTTTTCTGCCGTTACGTTTGAGCCCAGGTGTCATTAGAGAAGGAGCATGTGGTGTCCATCAATGCTGTCAATGCCTTTAAAGGGAGGTGGGCACTGTGGGGGATACAGTGCTTTATTTACTCCCCCAGCTGCATTTTGATATAGTCCCCTCCCTCTTGCCAATACCACTCTTTCCCCCCCCTGCAACATTTTGATGTTAGCTTTGCCTAAAACAGGCTTTCCTTGCAAATATTCAATTGGTCACATGAGTGTTTTCCTGATTGTGGAGGAAAAAAATTAAGCAGACACCGGGATAGATGTGGAGAACTTCTGTCCCAGGCTGGTACTAGTATATGTACGTTATGAGCAGTGTCTCTATTTTAGTGTTCAACAACAAATGATGTTCATTTCTAGTCATGTTTCCTGTGTTACTACAGGCATGCTGCATCTATGCTTCTGTAACAGCAAGTAGATCATGTCTAATTTCAGTTGTCTTACTAATATTTCATAAACAAAATATTTATGCTTTTGGTAGTTTCAAGAAGTCCCAAAACAGTTTTCAGCTAGTTTGCAGCCAATTACTATTTGAAATGTAGTCTGTTGTAATGTAGAAATGCGGTGACCAATTTGCACATACCAGGGTCCCTCAAACAGCAATGTGTTATTGACAAGATAGTATAACTAATTGATGTTGGTTGAGTAATAAGTGGTGCACAATAACAGTGTATTACATTTCCAGAGCACTCATTATGTTCAAATAAATCTTGAAAAGCTTCCCAAGTCCATGGATAGCAAGTGGACTCTGAGTGGAGGGGTGGAAGAAATGGTCAAAAGCATGCTGAAGGAAAAATGTCTTTAGTAGCTCTTTAGACAAGGGAATGAGGGAGATAAGGAGATTGATACTCCGCTCATCGTTATTTCAGAAAGTAGTGGCAAGGTAGGGATAGAGCAACAAGCAGGGGCCTAGTAGAGTGTTAGAGGGATACTAGATTGTAGAGTACTGGGGGAGGTGGACAAGTGAGAATGTAAAAGTCAATTTTCTGAAATACATGACTTTATTGAGGTCCCGTGCTTTGTCACACTAACTAGATTCTGTGTTTGTCCATATTTTTACTGGGGAGGTAGTCTTGATACACCATAAGACCATAGGAAATGGGAAACGGGAGTTCCTATTTGACCCCTGGAGCTTGCTTCACCATTCAGTAGGATCATGGCTGTTCTAACATCCTCACATTCACTTTCCAGCATTTTCCCATCACCCTTGATTTTCCCTGACTGATCACGAATCTATCTCAGCCTTAAATATACACAAGGACTGTTACCTACAGTTCTTTGTGGCATGGAGTTCCTAAAGGCTCTCAAGCCTCTGAGAAAAGAAATTCCTCCTCGTAGTCATGGAGATGTACAGCATGGAAACAGATCCTTCGGTCCAACTCATCCATGCCGACCAGATATCCTAAATAAATCTCGTCCCATTAGCCAGTATTTGGCCCATTCCTAATAATATACCCATCCAGATGCCTTTTAAATGTCGTAATTGTACCAGCCTCCACCACTTCCTATGGCAGCTCATTCCATATATGCGCCACCCGCTGCATGAAAAAGTTGCCTCTTCGATCCCTTTTAAATCTTTCCCCTCTCACCTTAAACCTATGCCCTCAAGTTTTGGACTCCCCCACCTTGGGTGGGGGGGAGAAAGACCTCATCTATTTACCCTTGCCCCTCATGATTTTATAAACCTCAATAAGGTCACCCCTCAGCCTCCAATGCTCCAGGGAAAATAGCCCCAGCCTGTTCAGCCTCTCCCTACAGCCGAAACCCTACTGGCAACATCCTTGTAAATCTTTTCTGAACCCTTTCATGTTTCACAACATCCTTCCTGTAGCAGGGAAACCAGAATTGCACGCAGTATTGCAAAAGTGGCCCAACCAATGTCCTGTACAGGCGCAACATGACCTACCAACTCCTATACTCAATGCACTGACCAATAAAGGCAAGAATACCAAACGCTGCCTTCACTATCCTGTCTACCTGTGACTTTCAAGGAGATATGAACCTGCATTCCAAGGTCTCTTTGTTCAGCAACACTCTCCAGGACCTCACCATTAAGTGTATAAGTCCTGCCCTGATTTGCCTTTCCAAAAGGCAGCACCTCACATTTATCTAAATTAAACAAAACCTGCTACTTCTCGTCCCATTGGCCCATCTGATCAAAATCCTGTTGTCCTCTAAAGTAACCACCTTCACTGTCCACTACACCTCCAATTTTAGTGTCGTCTACAAACTTACTAACTGTACCTCCTATGTTCACATCCAAATCATTTATATAAATGACAAAAAGCAGTGAACCCAGCACCAATCCCTGTGGCATACAGTTGGCCATAGCCCTCCAGTCTGAGAAACAACCCTTTACCACCACTGTCTGTCTTCTATCTTAGACCCAGTTCTGTATCCACATGGCTAGTTCTCCCTGTTTTCTGTGTGATCTAACTCTGTTAACCAGTCTACCATGTGGAACCTTGTCAAATGCCTTACTGAAGCCCATATAGATCACATCCACCACTCTGCCTTCATCAATCCTCTTTGTTACTTCTTCAAAAAACTCAATTAAGTTAGTGATACACAACCTCCCACACACAAAGCCATGTTGACTATCCCTAATCAGTCCTTGCCTTTCCAAATACATGTAAGTTCTGTCCCTTAGGGTTCCGTCTAAAGGCTTGCCCATCACCAATGTCATCTCAGTCTTAAATTGGAACCCTTTTGTTCTGAGATTATTATGCTGTGAAACAGCTTCTTAGCATTTACCCTGTCCAGAGTGGATCAGCAACACATGTCTGCATATTGTAGACATTTTAAACATGAATGATTATGTTGGGTGGCTGCGTAGTAGAGAGAGCAAGAATGTAAGCTGGGTGTAAGAGTCACGATTCCAGCCAGATGGTAAAAAGTCTGGAGCAACTGGCCAGCTCCTGATCTGAAATGAGTGTATTCAATGTGTTATTACATTTGTGCTTACCTTACAGTTTTTGATTATTGTTTGTGAAGCAAGGATGTACAGGGTAAATGCCTCTTTACCAGTAAAACAAACTTGTTGTAATGTCTGTTATGGTTTGGATCACGTGCTCAGACTAAACTTTAATTACTGCCTAAAAATGCAAGATGTCATTACAGTTCACATCTGTTATCATAAACTGCACTTTCACATAGACTTTGTCTTTTAAATTGAAATTGTAAGTAGCAATGGCGTGACATAAATTGCATGATGAGCTAACTTATAATTGGAGAATGACATACCTTTGGGAAGAATTACAATGTAGTTTTTTCCAATGAAAATATGTATCAGTCAACAGAAATTCTAAGCTGTGTTAACATTCTTTAATTTACATTAAACGTCATTTTTGTTACATTCTTTTTTTCCAGACAATGACGAATAAAATCAGCCATTCAAGACATGCCTGTGACAGAAATTTTCTGTTTTGTATGTGAGCATTGGCCAACTTTTGAGGATGCTAGAACTCTTTGATTCTAGTTGTATGGATACAAGTTTAGATTTTTGGAAGTCTACAGTACTGCATATGAATGCGTGCATGGAACATGGTTTGATTTTTATCCCTTCTTCCCCAGGATTATAATGTATGTTATTTTCTTGGAAGGTTTCTGAAGTGTGTTGCCTTTTTGTGTTTATGGATCTAGCTGCTGAAGAAAGGTCTGCATATTTAATAGAATTCTCTGACCAAAGTGCTCCCTTCGAAGCCCCACGGTTGTGTTACAGTATTGAAATGGAATGGATTATGAAATCTTGTGTAATTCAAAGTCTGTACGTTTTCCATTTCCATTGCAAATGAGGGGTGACCTATTGTGGAGGAATCCTTTCCCAAGTTTCATGCTGCAGAACACTAACCTGAAAGTAGACTTTTTATGTTGTAAAATAGGTACAATTTATTGTACAGTACTTCAAAGTACAAAGTTCATACAAATGTATTATATCTTTCTAATGATCAGGAATAAATACTCTTTTATACATTAAACATTTGGCATATTGTCCTTTTTTAAACTTGAATTCCATTACCAAAAGTCAGACACGTTTTAGATTGCTTCAAATGAAGGCTGCATTCAGTCTTGAATACAGGAAGAACCAATACATAACTTCAGTAAGACTTAACTTCAGTAAGACTTACTTCTAAAGCTCTGCCAGTGAATTAACGGTGAAGGTGACAAAATACTGAACTGCTGCAATGTCCCGGATTTAATCTGTTTGATTAGCTGATCATAGCGGGGATAGCACAGTTGACCTTAATGACCTTGATGAAGGCAAGAGGAATACACACAGTGAGAGTTTCCATGCCGTGAACATTATTCAAGCATGCTGTTGGAAAATGTGTGTCTGTGGAGGCCTGCTGACCTCCAGTCAGCCGTGGATGATTTTATTTGGATGGGAAGAAAGGTATGAAAACCAGTGTCCAAAATAACAAATGCTTACAATAATCTCCTGAAATTCATTATTGCTATGACCAAGCAGCATTCAGTATAACCTGTGGAGCAAATAACTCCAAAGAGTTCCTTCAATAGACACTCAATTATATATTTAGAAAAAGACTTGCATTTATGTAGTTGCTTTCACAAACCCCTGAAGTCCCAAGCATTTCATGGCTAATTTAAGCACTTTCAGGCTAGTTACTATAGGAAATGTGGCAGTCGATTCCTGCACAGCAGACTCTCACAAGCAATGGCTGGTGTCAACCTCTCTTTCTTCTCTTGGGCTATCTCCCTGTATTAAGCATGACTTTTTTCCATTCCAGTGTTGAGTCCTGAGTTGACTGAATTGTCCAGTGCTGGATCTGCTCACCCTGCCATAAGCTGTGTTTCCTGAAGCAGCTGGGTGGGATGCTCAGGTTTGTGCAGACTCCTGCTGTTTGTGCTTGACCTCAGCCTGTGTCGTTGGAGATCCTCCATGGCTGGCACCATCGCAAGTGCTTCTTTTCCTGTTAGGGTAGTCTTGGACTATAGATTTCCACAAGTTGTTGGGGATATTGCGTGTTTTTTCAGGGAAGCTTTCAGGATGTGCTTGAGTGTTTTCTGTGTGCTCCTGGTGATCATCAACAAAGCTCGGAGTCGAGACCTTGTTCTGGAAGATGTGCGTTAGGCATGGGGACGATACGGCCCACCCAATGCAAATGATTGGCTGTAACCACTACCTGTATAATGGGGGTGTTGGCCTGAGAGAGGAAACTGATGATGGAGTGTCTATCCTTACAGTGGATTTGCAGGATTTTGTTGAGGTGTTGCTGGTGATATTTCTCAAGGCTTTTGAGATATCTGTTGTACATTGTCTCTGTCTCTGATGAAGACAGGAAGGCTGGTTATATTGCTGCCCAGTAGATCATGAGCTTGATGACAGGTTTGAGGTCTTCATCGTCACACATTGTTTGTCACATGGTGAAAGGTGGTAACGTTGAACTTCATGTTCAATATTTACCCTTGCTGCCAAGGTGTGGCAATTGATCCATATTGTCCAGTGGTTCACAGTGGATGTTGATTAGTCAGGGGACAGCATTGTGTGATGGAAGGAGACTAATAGAGTATTTTTGTCTTGCTGATGATCAACCGAAAGCTCGTTCTGTCATCTGCCTCTCCAAATATGTCAGGAAAGGTTGCAGCTTTGCCTTTGATTGCATGTGCACATGAGCAACATCTGTAAACTGCTGATTCACAACAGAGCTCTGGGCTCTGGACTGGAATCAATGGAGGTTAAAAATTTCCTGACCGTCCAGAGTTAACGTTTTGGGTCCAGTGACCCGAGGAAGGGTCACTCAACCTGAAACGTTAACTGTGATTTCTCTCTACAGATGCTGCCAGACCTGCTGAGCTTTTCCAGCAATTTCTGTTTTTGATTTAGAATTAGAGAGAGTTGAGAGCAGGTGCATTTTGTGCTTCACACTCCCAGAATAGATGTAATATTATTCTTTATACCCATCGAAGAAAGATTCTCTCCTTGCTGAAGGTGTTGCAGAATTTCATTAGTAATTAAAAGGTAATCTTGATTTGGATGCAACCCTTCAACCTAAGCAAATGTATACTCAAGAAATTAATCTGTACTCCAAGACAGTTTCTGCACCTCGAGTTATACATTTTAATAAGCTCTGTAGTCACGTAATTTCTGACCTTATTATATGTAGCACCTGAAATTTACAACTTGAAGAAAAGCTGACACACTCTTCGCAAACTACCGTGAAATTTTAAGGTCTACAGCCAAAGCAAGAGACTAGCAGCCTGGACCATAGCTCACACATCAATGCTATGATGCTGCTGATGACCTGTGATTGGATACAGAAACAGAGCAGCAGGAAGAAAATGAATGTTTCTACAGAAACAAAGAGACCTGATTTCCTCAGGCATTTAGGTGAATAAAACTTGCAGGTTGGCTCACGCAGCCTAGTTTTTCAATTCTGCCTTTTCTACCTATCGCAAATGGACTGCAGCAGTTTAAGCAGGTAGTTCATCATCACCACCACCTCACCTAGAACAAAGAAAATTACAGCACAGGCCCTTCAGCCCTCCAAGCCTGCGCCGATCCAGATCCTCTATCTAAACCTGTTGCCTATTTTCCAAGGATCTGTATTCCTCTGCTCCCTGCCCATTCATGTATCTGTCTAGATACATCTTAAATGACGCTATCGTGCCCGCCTCTACCACCCCCACTGGCAACGCGTTCCAGGCACCCACCACCCTCTGCATAAAGAACTTTGCGCGCATACCTCCCTTAAACTTTTCCCCTCTCACCTTGAAATCGTGAACACTAGTAATTGAGTCCCCCACTCTGGGGAAAAAGCTTCTTGCTATGTACCCTGTCTATATCTCTCATGATTTTGTAGACGTCAATCAGGTCTCCCCTCAACCTCCATCTTTCTAATGTAAATAATCCTAATCTACTCAACCTCTCTTCATAGCTAGCGCCCTCCATACCAGGCAACATCCTGGTGAACCTCCTCTGCACCCTCTCCAAAGCATCCACATCCTTTTGGTAATGTGGCGACCAGAACTGTACGCAGTATTCCAAATGTGGTCGAACCAAAGTCCTATACAACTGCAACATGACTTGCCAACTCTTGTACTCAATGCCCCGTCCGATGAATGAAAGCATGCTGTATGCCTTCTTGACCACTCTATCGACCTGCGCAGCGACCTTCAGGGTACAATGGACCTGAACATCCAGATCTCTCTGTGCATCAATTTTCCCCAGAGTTCTTCCATTTATCGTATAGTTCGCTCTTGAATTGGATCTTCCAAAATGCATCACCTCGCATTTGCCTGGATTGAACTCCATCTGCCATTTCTCCGCCCAACTCTCCAATCTATCTATATTCTGCTGCATTCTTCGACAGTCCCCTTCACTATCTGCTACTCCACCAATCTTAGGGTAACAAGGGACAGGCAATACGGTCTGGCACACCCAGAGACACCACATCCCATAAATGAGTTGTTTAGAAGATGCGTCTTTATGTGCTGTAAAATCTTAACCTTCACTCTAGTTAGTGTGTACTACCTACAAGATGCATTGCAGAAATTCACACAGATCCTTAAACAACACCTTCCCAACCCACGACCACTTCCCTCTGGAAGAATAAGGGCTGCAGATTTATTGGAACACCGCCAGCTGCAAGTTTCTCTTCACCCATCATCCTGACTTGGGAATATATCTCTGCTCCTTCACTGTCACTGGGTCAAAATCCTGGAATTCCCTCGCTAAGAGCAGTGTCGGTCTACCTACAGCACATGGATTTCAGCAGCTCACCACCACCTTCTCAAGGGTAATTAGGGGTGGGCAATAAGTGCAGGCCCATACTCTCCAGGGATGTGCAGGCTCGGTGGATTAGCCATGGGAAATGCAGGGTTACATGGATTGGTTAGGGGTGGGTCTGGGTGGGAAGCTTTTCAGAGGGTTGGTGAGGACTCAATGGGCTGAATAGCCTGCTTCCACACCACAGGGATTCAATGACTCCTTCATCATTTCCCTGTACATTTGCAATTATTTTCTCAACAAACCAGTATCCAATTCCCTTTCTAACACCTTGATGGAACCTGCTGTCACTGCACACTTAGGCAAGAGGAGACGGTGGTATCAATGTCACTTAAGTAGTAACGTAAAGGCACATGCTGATGTACAAGGAATGTGAGTTTGAATCCCACCATGGCTGATAGTGAAATTTAATTTCAGTAAAAGCCTAGAATAAAACCCATCTGGTTCACTAACGTCCTTCAGGGAAGGAAATCTGCCATCCATACATGGTGTGACCTACATGTGATTCCAGAGTCAGTAATATGATTATCTCTTAAATATCCTCCAGGCAATTCGGGATGGGCAATAAATGCTGTGATGCCCTCATCCCATGAACAAATATTTTTTAAAAAAGCAGTGCATTCTGGATCCGAACCTCCTCGCTGCCAATAGATGTTTTCCATATGTTGCCCTTGGTACTTTTGCCATTCATCTTAAATCGGTGTCATCTGTTCCCTGACTCTCTGCCAGTGGGAAAAGGTTCATCTAATCTTCCCTGTCCGGATGCCTAGTGAATTTGAACACTTCTATTACGATTCCTGAAGAAATGGATAACTCTTATTAAGGGAAAATAATTGCCAGGTCGCCAGCAAAACAAAGACAACTGGACAAGATTTCACTTTGCAGAATCTTTACTGCTATAATCAAATTGACCAACAACATAACTCAAACATTAATTTACAAGCATCAAATATTTCAAACAAAATGGCAAAGTTCACTTTAAATAGTTGAAGCAATAAAGATACACCTCACAAAGTTACAAGCACTAGCATTTTTTTTCCATACAAATACGGAATCTCTTTAGAAAAGTCATCCTAGGGAAGTACTGTTTATAATGTGAGCCACTAATTACATGTGGTTGATTGTAAGCGTCGGTTTACTTAAACAAATAACACACTCATTGGGCATCACAAATCTCACAATCTTTCCAATTCAGCCTCTGCTATCTAGAAGCTGTCACTTCCTACTCAA